ATATATATATATATATATATATATATATATATATATATATATATAGGATGAAGTGTCATTAACAATTACTGAAATGAATTAATATTGTTTCACATACCAATAACATAGCCAAAAAATCCTACTAGGTTCCATCCTTAATGACAAATTCTCTATTTTTAGCATTACCTTCTTTTAGTGTGTCCATTTCTCATAATAGGCACTGGATTATTTTTGGTCTGATCCCATTGGTAATGGTTGTTAGAACACTATAGAGACTGTACAATAAGCATTAAGGATTGGATATGCGAGACACTAACTACTATCTTTTCTAACTTCTTGAATAGTAGGCAGGTGCCAAAAGATTGGAAGTTGGATATTGTTATTCCTCTTTTTCAAGGGAGGTGACAAAAAATTGTCCCAGTAATTATACACCTATTAGTCTTACATCAGTGGTGGGAATAGGTTTTAAATTATGATAAAAGATGCTTTGCAAAGTCATTTAGCAAAGTTTGATAGTCTGCATAGTTTCACAAAGGAAAAATCTTGCTGTACTAATTTTCTGACATTCTTTGAAGAAGTATATGAGAGTATGATTTGGTGTATCTGGATTATCAGAAAGCATTTAACAAGATGCCACATAAAAGGCTTGTTTAAAAAATGTTATCTCTGAATGTGTGAGGATAGGTTGGCTTACTGGATAAAAAATTGTTTGGATGGAAGAAAGCAGAGGGTTGTTATAAATTTAATTTAATTTAACTGGATGAATGTCACTAGGGGGTACCTCAAGGCACAATGTTCAGACCTTTGATGTTTTTGGTTTACATCAATGACATATATGAAGGTATGGTCCAAGTTTTTGGGTGTTGCTGGCTGAGGAGGAGGAGGATGCTGATTTATAAAATGATTTGGATTGTTTGGTGAGTTGGGCAAGTAAATAGCAGATGGCTTTTTATTATAATAAATGAAAAGTAAAACATATGGGATACCAAATTTTGAATCATGGGTGTAATTTTGATTATAAAATGATTTGGATTGTTTGGTGAGTTGGGCAAGTAAATAGCAGATGGCTTTTTATTATAATAAATGAACAGTAAAACATATGGGATACCAAATTTTGAATCATGGGTGTAATTTTGATGGAAGTAACCTTAACAGTGTCATGAAAGAAAAATACTTTGTACACAGTATTGTTGTTATAATTTACTATACAGTGGGGACACTTACTGGACTGGTAAGAGAAAGCTCACTAAGTTTTACTTTCATTTTTCTCTCTTGCCAGTCCAACACACATTTTTGCTATTAATATTGATGCTTTTGTTAACCCTTCATTTGTGGCTTGTGTAAATCTACCTACAACCCCATGCACAAAGAGTTGCAAATTTTTGCAGCAGGACATTCAAAATGTTGCACACAAATTGTATCATATACTATCAACTTCAGTTGCCTACGCTAACATCATATGATGCCAACTGCAATTGAAGGGTTAATAAACATTGTACTTATGTACCTTTCAGCTTCGAGTCATTCCTCCAGTTGATCTTGGCTGAAGATCAAAGAAATACTCAGTTACACTCCATATTCCAGTATTTCAAGAACATCCAGTTAGCAGGCCTTAACTGACTGCTCTGTGGGAAAACTATTCTGTTGGAAATACAACATGAAAAAGGGAAACCAGTTTCCAACTGTATGTGATCAGCATGCTACACTTCCTGCTGAGACCTGCAAGAAGGCCAGGATTGATGAAAGCAGAGATACAAATCCTGAGGGCAGGATTAACATAGTATTTGTTCAAATATGAACTATTAGTCTGGAATTTGTAAAGTACAAAAATATGTACTATTTTTTTTTAAAGCTTTGAGTAATATTGGTATTCTGAGCTGTAGAGAGGTTTGGCTATCTATAAACCACATCATCTTATGATGGTCTGTAATACAGCTTCAGTTAGAGATGTAAGGAACACCCATGTGATAATGTAAGGCCTTAGTGGATAACCCACAATGATTACGTCATTGCTGGGAGTTCTCTTCAAACAACAATGAAGGAGATTGTCAGTATAAGCAGACAAGTCTGCAAGGGTCTTTACCTTAATTTGTTAAGTGGGATAATTACAGTACCTTCTCTGTCAGAATTTTATCTTTATTCAATTGAATAAGTACTATTTGTTTATTAAACAAAGTCACATCTGGTCTTCTTGGTTATCAATTCTTAAAAATAATCACAGTCGCATGTAAACCTTCCTTTAGTTCAACTGTAAATGCTCCAAATTGTTAAGGCTAATGTCTATGGTGTCCTAACAACCAGTAACAATGTAATACAATCAATAACTTAAGCCACTGCCTAGCATTGATACAAGTTATATTAAAAGAAACTACTGATGAAGGTGGAAAATTAAAGATGGAAGTAAGAGATGACAGAAGGTACGTAGAGTTCCAGTAAAATGGCAAGCCTGTGTGTCTGTGTGTGTGCGCGTGTAGCTAATTTAGACTAGCTTCACATGGTCAAATATTAGTGCACAATGTGCACTATTCATTTGTAGTTAAAGGCCAACTCCAAAATGCATAGCTGAATGCTTTATCTTTCACATAACCAAGCTGTTGTACAGCAAGACAAGAAGTTACCAGACCTATGGTGTGCCCACCATGGGTGTCGAACCCCAATTGTTGTGATGTTAGCCCACAAGCTTACCACTGAACTACCATATACATAACAATAATTGATTTATTACAATAAATAGCAGTCAAAGATCTTATGGCATACAATATCATTAAAAATGGCCCTTTAGTGTAATATTAATACTTCTCCAGTTCTTAAAGTGTGTAAAATTATATTGATAATGCTTAGTACAGTCATCAAGTCTAATATATCTAAGTACAAGAAAAACAGAACAAATTCAACTGAGGATTATTAAGTTCATTTACAGGTATTAATATTCAACTTTAATCAGATGTTATCTAAGAAGATAACACACCTCCAACTGTAATTATTCATCTTCCCACTGGTTTTGTTTAGAATTTTAATGTAAATCTATGCAAGAGATATGTGTTCTTAGTAATCAATTATTTTGGATGGTAGTCAATAGCAATCACTGCTAACTCTTATCTGATCTCACACTGGGATTAGATTACCACTCTTATAGTACACTTACAGCCTCAAAGTGAGGGGCACATTTATTGCCAACTCTTATCTGATCTCACACTGGGATTAGATTACTGAGTTAGCAATAAATGTGCCCCTCACTTTGAGGCTGTAAGTGTACTATAAGAGTAGTAATCTAATCCCAGTGTGAGATCAGATAAGAGTTAGCAATAAATGTGCCCCTCAGGCTGTAGGTGTACTATAAGAGTTTATCTGATCTCACACTGGGATTAGATTACTACTCTTATAGTACACCTACAGCCTGAGGGGCACATTTATCCAACTACATAACATAAGCCATGAACCTTGGCTTTACAATCTGAGCACATTAACCAATGAGCCACACCTGGTCCTCTTTCAACTGTAAAAGTTATAAAGATATCATTGGCAGATAAAAATCTGAACAAAATATGTTACTAAAACAAAAATTATCAATCTACACACACAAATATAAATATATATATATATACACTCATGTAACTTAGGTATTTTCATTATTCACTATTTGATTGCTTCTTCTGCTAGTGCTTGTCCATTTGAATTACACCCATAAGCTTGTAAAATGTGTTTCAATGTTCACTAAAGAACTTAATATCAGAAATTAAACAGAAAATTGCAGTTTCTCTTGATCAATGTATTTAATTTTTCTAGTAGTATTATATATATTTGTAATTAAAAAAATACCTAAACAACTTCGTATATGTTAAATGGAATTTTCCTTTAATGATGAAAGCTCACAAATGTCAGTCAAAATATGTTTTTGTACAACTATAATTGTGAAACATTTAACATTGTTACTGAAGAATGGTAACAAATGGTAGGGCAAAAGATGCATATTTAATATATTACTACTAGATGGGAATATCTGGAAAGCATTACCAAGCTTGCTCCATATTAAGTTACATATTGTCATTGATAGATGTACTGAGTAAATGCAATGAATATCAGTAGGTATTAAAAAGTGATTCAGTCAGAGACAATGAAGAGTTGCCAGAATACTTTTACTGAACAGCTTTAACGAAAAAAAATATATTTATATATATTTTTGTAACAAATTTGCAAATAAAGCCAACCCTACCAGTTTAAGGGCTTGGCTGGAAGGGTTTTGTACATGCAGTATTAACCCCTAGAGATCTGTTGCACTAGCTACAATATAAATAATCAGTTATATTACTAGCAAAGATTTTTTCCAAATGATTTTCTTTTGGATTATCTGATAATGCACTGTGTTAAAATGTTTGTTTTTACAAATAGTCATTCTGTGTAATTTTCCTCCACTGCATTTCTAATATCCAAGAAAATTATATTATCAAATCACTTTCTTAATGAAATGTAGCCTATAATGCTCTTTGTTTTCTAAGGATCTCTAAAGAGTTATTCATCAACATATATGACTTATCAATAGGAAGCCTTAAAAGATATTCCTTTACATAATCTTTCACTCAGCATATTACTAGAACACTTACATCCCTTTATCACAAAATAAACTTATAGCAAATTTCTTGACTAGATGAGTTATCAAAAAAATCTCCAGTTTATACTAGAAAATCTTGATACTGATTCTAGTGGTGGAATTAAGTGTTTGTGGTAGTACATTAGTAAAGTTATAAAACCAGAACCGAGACATTAATCAGCACTGTACTAATTTCTTTAGAATTAGATATTCCATCTGCAAACTGCAAATGATGTTTGTATTAATACGTCATATTTAGGGTTCACAAACTTATCCTTATAAATATATAACTTGTAATACATAACAGAACAGATAATGCAACAGTAAGGAATACTGTTAAATATCTCACTAGTATATACTGAATAGGACTTCCATCCCATTTTTAATGATGTAATAATCCAGACATTTGCACAGCATTATTATTTTATTAGACTTAAGCTTAAAGGCACATATTTTGACTGAAGTATGTATGTATCTTAATACATCTCACTTAAACTGATAAATGTTTCAATAATAAATGAAAACTTTCAAAATATTGGGACTTTGAACAATAAACTGTATTCATCTTTATAATTAAAACAAAGAGCATAAAGAAGTTTAATAACTTTATGATTGTTCTTTAAAATAAAACATTTATGCAATTTTCATGATAAGATATTTGCCTATTCAAAATCTTTTACTTAGGTAAACAAGTCCCCAAAACATTGAAAATTGAAATTACTTGGAAAAAATAAAACTAGTATGTGAAAGATTAACAGTTCCATCATTCATACTTGCAATTTCACTAAATGTCTTTAGTAGTTTTACATTTTAAATGTGAAATTTTCTCTACTGTTGCATTATCAAATATCTTTTAAAATAATAATTAAAAAATGAGAAGTTCTCCCAAGGAATGCACAAAAGTTTATCAATATTTCAATCTCCTGTAAAATAATTCAGGGTACAACTAAAATTAGGTTACACAATTTTTCTTTCTTACAAAAGTGAGAGACACCACTGAAGATATTTTCAGTTATTTTAAAAACTTAGATTCTGCAGTGAAAAGTTCTAATTATTATTGTTGAAATTAATAGTAGCTTAACTAAAAACATACTAAAGATGACTAGTAGAAAAAATGCAACATTAAATAAGGAATATGACTAATAGAATAAATGAACATTAAACAAGGAACGTGTAATACATTTTGTTACTGCTTGGAATAATGCTGAAGAAATACTTCAGAAACAAGTTAGTTGTTATAAATTGAATAATCATACAAAGATCCTCCTATTAATCTTAACTATTAACTAATATCTACTTTTCATGAAAAAAGTTTAATTAACAGAGCTCAGCTACTAATGTGGTAAAAGAAAAAGCCCTAAATCAAGCCTATTATCTTTCTCATTTGGGAAGTAATGGAGATTGACAGGTAAACACTATGGACCACTCTTAATGGTCTGTCATTCTTTAACTGTACGTGTAGCTCTTAAGGATTCATATTCAGTAAATAACTAAACACCATAACTGGCTGATAAATGTTTGCTTTCTTGACATACATCAGCCAATCTCATTAAAGCTTAATGGTCTACGTTTACTATTATAAATACACTTGCTTTAACATATAAATACAATTTGGTTATAATTTATCCAAAAATAGTCTTAAGAGAAGCAGCAAATAAAATTGTATGATCTTGATCCTTGACAGTCTAGACACATACAACAGCAGATATCACAGAGACATATGCCTATACTCATATAGTTCAGGAACTCTTTATAAGCTCAAATAACAATAGTAACAATACACTTGACATACATAACAATAATCACGACAAATTATTCTTCATAAACCAGGCATTTCTTTGAAAAGATGAAAAATGAAGTGAACTTAAAACACAGTACAGCTTACAGAAATATTTATACATTAGTTCAGTATCTTGATAGAACAAAATACTAGTAGAACGCTATTTTTGTAAACAAATAATTAGCTTTTAGTTTATCTGGTTACACTTTAAATACAAGAAACCCAAGTTTATTAAAACCAACAGAAAAAAAAAGATAAATAATTCCAAAACAAGTGGGTTAGTAAGAAGTATCACTATTTTCAGAACAAAATCAAGTGTTAAATTAACTTTCTGATCTTTCAGTGGAAAGTGTTAATTTGAAAGCTGAAAAAATAAATATACACACATAGTAGACAGACATAGATGCTAAATTTATTCATCTCCTACATTCAAAAAATAAATATAATATTTAATTTAAACTGATATTAGGCACCATATGATAAAAAACATTATATAATGCAGAGAATGCACTTCCCTTCTAGTCACCACTAGAATTCAGTATAACTTACTTTAATCTACTTAAGAGAGGAATACAAAGATACCATGTTTCTCATGAACTTTAGGCTGAAGATAAGAAAATTTAGCTATTTTTTTTATATATATATATATATAAACATAATATCAATGTTTAGATTTATTTGAAGTCGTTTGCCAACTAATGTATTCTAATAATTTTGCCTTTCAGTTGTATAAGCAAATGGATTAATTTCGTTCTTATCTTCTTTAGTGGACCTATATGTGACACGTCGAAATCTATCCTTTTTACTTAACAATGCACGTCCCGTTTTCTTTTCATTGTACCTCAAGTTGTAATAGTCACTTGATCTTGGCTTAAGAATTTCTTTTGAGACACCCCCTGCAACAATAAATTAAAACAGCTACACAGATATACACAAATCAAGATGAAACTGAGATTTGATATACACAAAATAATGAACACTAGATATAAAAAATAAAACATCTTTACAATTTATAAAAATTTACAATAGATACAGAACAAAATTTGTGAACAGCTGTTCCTATTATGAGAAAAACTATTAGGTAATTACTGAACAATAACATCACACAAGATTTAAAACCCTAAAACTGCGACTCAATTGTACAGAAATTGACATTCTGGAACCGAGTGGCAACTTGGATGAAGAGAAAAATCTGGAAGAACTATTTCTCATATAAAACTTTTTATAACCTTCGAGTTTGACCTTTTCTTTTATAAAGTGCAATGAAACTAAAAAAAAATCTGTGTTAATGAAAAGTCTTCCCAATGCTAGGCTACTTTTTCTCAGGCCCATTCCATTTTGACCTTTATTTGCACTATAAGAATGGTTTTCAATACACTCATGACACTTAGGACATTTTGCACACTTATTGATGTTCAGTTATTTCTTTTAACTTTCATATGGTAAGGTTTGGTAAAACCCATCTCAGTCTTTCAATCACTTAATGATTTAAAACAATGATAGTGGTTACAATTAGGAGAACAAAGTATCTTATTCCTACTATTCCTTCTCTTGTTTTCTTTTTCTTATTGAATTTAATGTTTTTGGATGACCTCTTTCCAATTTCATAAATTTCAACAGAAACCCCCATCATGACTACATCTGCAACATTTGCAACTGATGTAAACATCACACCTTCCAACCTTGCATTTGCAACTGAGATTAGGGTAAACATGACCTTTGGACATTCTGAAAACAGGTCTTATATAAGCAAAGACGAGAAACGAGGGAAAATGTGAGGTGTTGGATTTGATGAGATAACACAGTACAAAGTATATGCTGGGAAGGGGATTAAGGCAACTGGATCAAACAATGAACCCAATTGATGAGTGTAAAATGGGAGAGATCCTTGGATGAAAAGGGTTGCTAGGAAATAATGAGATGGGAATGGGAACTATGGAAGAAAGCCATGCAGAAAATATAACAATGAAGGGCACACACAGGACATAGAAGTCTATTTGGATCAGGACAGGGTAGAGATGAGAAATAGAGGGTAGAGAAGTAGGCAAAAAGAGATGAGTTACCCTCACGAGCTGCTGAGGTTCTGAGGAGAAATGGACAATCTGGATAAAGTAGAAGATAGGTATGGTGGTAAAGTTTGCTTGTAACGTTGATGGCGAACAAATCAGACCATTAACACCCACAGGCCAGAAGGAGAAGGAAATCAGCCTTAAGGGACATGTGAAACAAAGAACATGAGGAAATAGGTTCAAAAGGAGGTAAAGTAAGGTAATGGAGGACCTCATTAATATCCCAGTCCGGAATGGCAGGTCATTGAATCCAGAAGGAATGGATTAACATGGTAAGGACGGATGAGACAAAAATCCTGCAGTAATGGGAAAGGCGAAAGGTATGGGATAAGGCTGCACAATAACCTGAAATAAAGGAGACTGAAGACCCCCAGTCAAAAAGCCACGTGAGAAATTCGGATACACCAGCAACTACAGCAGCCAGAAAACACCAAGTCTGGGACCATGTGCAAAAGATCTTCCACTTTCACTGATACAGTAACATGGAGGAAGGAGAGATGGATTAGAACAAATGAGAAGCTAAATGACAAGAGAAATCAATCTCCTTGCTAAGGACCAGACAAAAGCCAAGCATGAAGACAGAGGACATGAAGTGTGGAATGTAGAACCGGTGACCGGGTTGATGAAGGAGGTCGGGTAATAAATGAAGTGGTACTGGTGGGAATAATTGTAGGTGGAGTAAATGAGGAAACCATGGTTGAGCTGGCCAGTAAAGAGCAATCAGAAGGACCTAGCATAAAATGGTATGGATCAGGGAAACTACCTGATGAAGTAATTGGATAAGAGGATAAACATGTAGGAATTTGTGTGCCCAAACCTAGCTGAAGACATCTATAGCCAAAGCCTGGGAATGAGAAACTGGGTACCAAAATAGGGGTAGCTGGTGATTGAGGGTGGTGGAAAAAGCATTAATGTGAGGAACACCCCACAAACTGCAAAGCCACCGAAAAATGAGAGATGAAGGGACTACTCCACCAGGTAAACCTTGTTGGGGTGGAAAAGACATTCTGCCATGAGGTTGAAAGCACTTGAGACATGATGCACAATTAAACAAATGTGTTGTATGTGGGCCCAATGTAGGAGATCCAATGCTCAAAAACAGAGGGATTTCAACCGGGTTCAGCCTTAGTGATTGATATAAGCCACCACTGTGGAAAAAGAAAGTGGCCTCAAACCTGATGAATGGCTAGGAGCTCTAGGACGTTGATATGTAAAGATTTTTCATCTAGAGACCAACAACCCTGGTGATCGACCCACACACCTCAGCCCTGAAGGGATGCCTCTGTAAACTGATGCAAGTCCTGATGAAAAGGAGGAAGTAGGACACCTGCCAATGTGCGAGTCTTGTCCAACCACCAAAGAAGATCGTCTACAAGGGAAAGAGGAAGGGCGATGGGATATCCAAGGGATCCCGAGCAAGGTTCCATTGATCATGCATAGTCCATAAAACACCAAACAACCACTGAAGGGAGTGCATGTATGCATGGCAGAGGGGGATTAGTGGTGTCATAGAAGACCACATTCCCAAAAGCAACAGAACCTTGTGTGCAGAAAGTAAGGGAGCAGACATGGCATGGCAAAATGACAATTCCATAGAATGGAGTCTGAGAGAAGGTTGGGCCCGACTGAGACGAGTGTTGAAAAAGACACCCAAATGTATAAGGTACTGGATAGAACTTAGGAAGGACTTCTCCAATTTGATCAACCACTCTACCTGAGCTGCTTTGAGAAGGAACTGACAAGTATGGCAGGCTAACTCCTGTTTGGAATGGGCAAGAAGCAGCCAGTCATCCATATAAAAATGAAAATGCAGCCCCAGGGCATGAAGATGAAGAGCAAAAGCTCATACCACCCAACAGAAAACGTATGGAGCCAAAGCCAGCCCGAAGAGTATGGCGCAAAAGAGGAATACTACCCCTTGATGGACGAACCAAAGATAAAGACAAGAGCATTTTGAGATGGGATTATGTAGATAGGCATTGTCAACATCCATCTTGGTCATCCATAGGCCTGGTGAAAAAGCCCACTGAAGATTGAAGTAGAACTCCATGGTGAAACATGGGAGGTAAGCAAAGTGATTGAGGCAGGACAGATCAATGACAGGCCTCCAATCCCTGGTCTTTTTGGGAACAACAAACAGACAGGAGTAAATCTCCGGTGAATGACGTGGAACATGTTCTATAGCCTATTGGGTGAGAAGGTCCTGTACTGCCTCTGATAGATGCTGGCAAGTTACTGGATCGTGAGGAGAAGGGAAGGAAACAGGTACCTGGAACAAGAGATGGAATTTCAAATCCCTCTGACAAAACCTGAATAACCCAAACATCAGAGATGAAAGGGCGCCACCAATGAACAAAGGCTGCAATGCGAGCTCCCACCAGGTAGTCACTGGAACTGTTGGTGGCATATCGTGTGTTGTCAAAAGAAACGGTGAGCCGTGGCACTGCGGGAGGCAGGGACAGGTTAGGGATAGGAAGGAGAAGGATGGGAAACTGAAATAGGTGCCACACTTGGCTCTGACTGAGATAAATGTGAAACTAGATGGGAAATGGTAGAGTGTTGCTGGGCAAATGCCACCCGAGACACCAAGGATTCCGGGGACCATATCAAAGATGAAAAGCCATATGCAAACCCTAGAGATAAGGAGCAGGTAAAGGTAAACAGCATCACGACCTAAAAGGTCCCAACAACAAAGACACCATGTATGTAGAGCCAAAGACGATAAACAAGAAGGTAAGGATGGAGAGGGTGTCCCCAGAAAACACCTCAGGATTTCTGTGAAGAGCCTCAGACAGGAGATGGATCATAGAAAGCTACAACAAAAAGGTCATGAGAGTAAGACGGAGGTGGGAAAATTGGGCATGGGTGAGATTAAGGGAGATTTGTGGCCCGCTCCCAAATGGGCAAAAACTGAACCCAACAGCTATTGGTCGACATATGGACAGTCTGCCCTATGAAATGCAAGGACCGACTGATCCGAAGCCCATGGGGGAAATAGGCATACTAACAACAACACCAAACTGAGATTTGAATTGGTCAGCATGAACCCAAATGTCAAGGGATGGATGAAACACCAAATAGCATTGGGAAGTATGTTCATGTAATAACAAAGGACACAGGTCATAAGATATAGGAGCAAGGGGTAAAACATCGTATACCTGAGAAATAAAGTCTGCAAAAACTGTGGATGGCTGAACAGAATCATCAGGGAGGGTATGGGAAGGCATGGCAAATTCAGGAGGTGGAAACAGGTGATAAGAGTCGTCATCAACCTGAACCGATTCCACAGGTTCAGGAGGAAGAGGGGCAATTTCTGGAGATAAAGGTTGACCCATATTACATTCAATCTTCCTGCAAATAAATGTAGACAAATCTCCCATTGGGTCACCAGCACCTGATGCCTGTGGTATAGTGCCTCTCGATCATATGACACCCAAACTGATGACATTAACTTTGGAATTCGTGGTGATGTAGTTAACAAAAGCGCTTGAAGTAAATAAGAAATGTAACTGTAATATGGGTAAGTGAACTGAAATAATGTAAAAAAACAACTGAGTATTGTAAATTAATTTAAACCAATTCGAGATAATACAAACTCAAACAAAAACAGATGAAAAAATAGACACCTGAGTGCAAGCACTGCCAAACGAGAAGGGATAACTTGGTATAGGCACATAGAGGGAGTCACAGTGTACTATGATCCTACTAGTGAATAGGTAATGCACGATGATTTGTATGAGATATACATTGGAATCCTTTGATTCCAATAGGGGGTGAAGAAGGCTTGTGGCATGCATAATAAAAAAGTTTGCATTTAGAGAGCAGCA